CTCTTAAACCTATGAGTGTTTATAATTTATTTGAAAGTTACATGAAAAACACAACATTGATCCTGTTAGATTCGACTGTTTCTTTGATTAAATGTTAATTTATTTTTCTACTGCTTTATATTTTAATTTATTGATTATTTTCAAGTTTGAGCATGAGGTCGAATCCCAACAATATTTTCCTAAATCCTACCTTGGCCTTAGCCATACGTTACAAGCTTGATAGAGTTTTAAGGATCCTTGAGTAAGTGTTAGTATACATTCGTGGAGAAAGAGATGGAAAGCAAATTTATAAAACTCGTGACTAATTTGAATTTTGCACAAGCATAAACCTATTCGAATGACATGATATTCATTGCAAGAAACTACACACACACACACACGTGAAACCATTTGAACACATGCTTTCAATTGAGTTGAAATGTAAACTTGGATAATATTTATGATTGCTTTAAGTTGAGGAAATAAGATAACCTAGGAGGAAATTTAAATGTGATCTTTGATTTAGTGCAACTTACTTGTAGTAGATGTTTTCATTTTTAATGTTTCTTTCTTTGTTTTAAGTTTTCCTTGAGGACTAGCGAAATATTAAGTTTAGGGGTGTGTGATAACTCTATTATATAAAGTTATCTTGCACATTTTTGGGCATAAAAGTAAGAAAGTCCTTGTGTTTTTTAATTGATTTTAGGTAGTTTTCATGTTTTTCATTAATAAGTTTAATGCATGTTGAATCATATTTATTTCAAGTAATTTTAGCTCAATGTCATATTAAAAGACCTAATTTGAGCCATCACTAATTTAGTTGTTTGTTTTTGAAGGTTCTCAAGTGCATAAAACTTAATGAATAATGAACCATGTAAGAATGGCCTGGTGTAGACTCTCACCAAACTGACTGTGGTATCTTGAGTATAACTTAGGATACAAATATAAAATCAACATGATTCTTAAACCATTGGAAAGCTAAGAGGCAGAGCTACAACTTTCATGTTTATTACTTTTCCTCGTTCAACTTCGAAGTAGGAGAAAATAACATTGCAAGGGAAGATACTGCAGCAGATTTTGCACAATGGCAACATGAAAAAGCTAGCACTACCTAGCATCGTGGCATCGAGATACCCCTATACAAATTCTAGAGAGCTTGGTGCCTAGGCACCAGCCACTCAGCACCTAGGTGGCAGCGCGTGACTTAAAAATCTGCACTTGCAATTTTTTTTACTTCGACCTTTTAATAAGGGCTTTAAATGGGACTTTTTGAGCTAGAAAAGGTGAGCTAGAGTAGAAAAGATTTTCAGAGCAAAAACAGGGTTTCTATAAAAGAAGAAAGGAGGGTAATCCAAGGAGATTTTGTTCTAAAAGCTACAATAAATCATTTCTCCCACAAGTTTTTCTTTTCTCTTTCTATCTTTTGTTGTAGAAATGATTTATTTTCTAGAAATATCGACTTTTGCTATAACTATGATGAACTAAATAGCTTTTATCTAGGATTTTGGTGGACTTCAACATGTAACTTAGATTATTTTTTGTTCTTTTACTTAATTTGCATAGGTATGTTAATGTTTACTCAAATATGAATTTATTGACCACTGATTGCTTGATACCAATTGAATGGTTGTGGTATCTAAATAAGACTTAATAAAGTTAGTTTAGATTAGACCTAGTTTGGATAATATGTGTTCATATCACTTAGAAATTAAGCACCTTGATTAGCAATTAAGGTAGACATATGCCAAGATGCTGCATATAGTTTAAATAGAAATTATGCTTAAAGAACCTAGCTTAATTAAATCCTATAGACACATAAAGACCCAATTAATATAATTAACTATACAAATACCTATACATAGGTTTGCACATGCATTAGGATTCTAGGCTAGCATCAACCCCCGTTGAATTAAGTAATTAGAGAAATAACAATCCA